AAAAAAAAAAAAAAAAAAAAAAAAACCAGTCCAATCCCACATACAGAGGCGGAGCTAGAGAAGGAAACATGGGTACGGATGAACCCAACTGTTTTTGTATTAAGAAGTTCATTAAATATATATATAAATATTTAATTGCGAACTCAGTAACTAAACGAGCTATGAGTTCGATGATAATTTCAGAACCCATAAAATTCTAATCTTGGCTCCACCTCCGACCACACAGTGGGTCTGGGGAGGGTAGTGTGTACGCAAACTTTACCCCTACTTTACGAAAGGAAAAAATATCAAAAGAATAGAACGGAGAACCTCATCAACTTTTGCTTCTATTAAGCCTATCAAACTGACTTCGATAAACATACAATAAAGAGGGAAAATGGTCCAATAATTAGCAAATTAACTTAGAAAAGTAGCCCAAATAAGCTTAATAGCTTGTTCCCACAATTTGCAAAACCTAACCTTTGCCTTGGCAAATTATAAACACAACGGAAACCTAAAAATAAGCTACTTAAATAGTAGTTAAGTACTAAATTTTGAGGGAATAGACTAAAAAGGCTTAGTATGAGACAGAACATAAACATTATAACACCAATAAAAAATTTACCCCATCAGATTATTTAAGTAAAACCCCAATTGAGTTTCAGATGATTTAATTATACCCAGATAATAAAAATTCAATCTTGATTTAAACAGAACCATAAAAGAAAGATATGAACCAGAGTATGAATTATTTAAGCAAAACCCCAATTCAATTTCAGCTGATTTTATTATACCCAGAAAATAAAATTTAATCTTGATTTAAACCAGAACCATAAAAGCAAGATATGAACCTGAATATGAATTATGACGTGCTTCTAATACTTTTCTGATGGCTAATTCAGTTGCGTTCGCGGGGGCGGGGGGATCGCAAGAAGCTGAAAGAGAATAAGTGACAGAAACTTTAAGTTTATGTATAAATTAGTGTATAAAAAAACTTAAAATATAAGAAATATTGTCATAAGTTTTTTTCTAAAAACCGTAATCTATACTAAACAAACTTCTTATGATTCTATCATTTTTTGTGATTTTTCTAACATCCAATATAAATTTTTTAGACAAAAAGATTTTCCGGAATAAACTCATAGATTAAATATAAAATAATTCATCTGGGCGCAGACCCAAAAACCGTTATCAAAAAATATATATGAAATAACATTTAAATCAGTGTACGTGAACTTGAATAAAACAAAAAAATAGTAGAAAAAAGAAAATAAAAAAGATCAACCCTGTCATTGTTGGAATCAGATTCCATAGTTTATTTTTCCCTCACATTAAATTCTTAGCTTACCCAAAAAATTACTCCTATTCTTTAGGGGATTATTATTTCCATTCAAAAAATGATGAAAAATAGTATTGTTTTCCCAGCTATTAAAGGTAAAAGGTGTTATTTGGAATTTGAATGCTTCCTCATTCGGTTTCTAGCCATTTAAGGTAATTACATCATATTAATATGCAACTAAACGTTAAAAAAATATAGAATCAAATGTAATTACCTTTATTTAAACAAACCTGTACAAAATCAAATATCAAATAAATATAAAAATGGAAGAGAAAAATACATGATCAATGATAAAAATATAAATTAACCATAATAAAGAAGAAATCAGTTGTAGTACAAAGCAAAAAAAGTTAATATCAGAGAAAATATCAAATATCATTCACTATTTCTATTTACCAAAACAGAGGTATAAAAAATTAACTATAATAAAAACACGATAAAATTGAAAGCATGTGTCTTTTCATATTTTGTTGAATGCCTTCCCCTTTAATAGAAATTTAAGACCTAGTATAACAGTTTTCTTTATGAGAAAGAAGAGGAAATGACGTGACTTTTGATTTTTAAAGAAGTGACTTGTGGGTTTTTTAAAATATTGAATAAATAGGAAAAATAGGATAAAAGCCAAAAAAAATGACAAAAAAGAAATTTAGTTTTTTGGCCATATAAATATGCCACATCACTGTGCCAAGTCCCATTGCAGCTTTATATATTTATATAGATTTCAATCGCATCCTATTGGTAAAATTACGGTATGGCCCTTATAACAAATATCTCATATATTCAATCTTTCTGTTTAAGATCTCATGTCAAAATGATACATATATAACTAAAATAACATTTAGGGGTCGTTTGGTAGGATAGATAAGTAAAAATAATTCTGGAAATAAATGTTTAGTAATGCCTTATCCCTTATTTTACTAAACCTGGGATAAATTATTTCAGAATTGAAAATAGTACCGATAATTTATACTCCCTCCGTTTCAATTTATGTGAACCTGTTTGGCTGGGCACGAAGTTTAAGAAAAAATAAAGACTTTTAAAATTTGTGGTCCTAAACAAGCCAAAAGGGGCCCAGAGTATTTGTGTGATTATAAAAGCTTCTCATTAAGGGTAGAATTGTAAGTTTAAGTTATATTGTTACCAAATTTAGAATGGGGTCATTCTTTTTGGAACAGACCAAAAATGAAATAAGTTCACATAAACTGGAACAGAGGGAGTAACTGTTTGTCACGGTAGAATGGTAATTCCAAGATAAGTTATATGAGGATAAAATAGTAAAATTTACAATCGCAGGATTAATACAACATGCCAAACAACCAATAAGAATAATCTCAGGATAACTAACCCCAACCTAACTAATCTCAATATAACTGCTCCCAACATAACTAATCACATCATAACTTGTCTTCAAACCAAACGACCCCTTATAGAATAAATGAACTATAAAATCAAATCTCCCGGAAAGACAATAAGTTGGACCATCATGGCAGGGCAAATCCAAAGCATTACGGTTCACCAGAACTCAGTGGCTTTTGGTCATACTAATTACATATATAAAAATTTAAGATAATTAAATTTTTAATTGTATAAAAATTTAAGATCGTTGAAAGAATCCATAAATTTTAAATTGTGGACCTGCCTCTGCATCATGGGTGAAGACATCTATTATGTTGGTCGATCAATCTCTATACATTTGCATAAGACTTGGAATGGGGATATCCTGCTTTATGGTAATTTTAGTCCTAACTTTTCTTTCATAGCGACAAAAATTTGGTGGCAAACAATCAAGAATTGTATTTTGAGGATGTTGTGGGTCTTCCTGAAGTATTTGATAGTCAAGAAGCGTCCGATCACACTCCAAGTTGATCTCGAGGAAAAATAATAGAATCTGGGAAAGACATAATTTGATGCTTGATATTTTTGTGACAATTCCAAGAGTTTATAAAATATTCAAAATCTCTTATCTCTTCGTAAATATCCCAAGAGTTTATAGAATTTTCGAGATCAGGACACATTCAATTATGTCAAAGACAGAAGCATAAGAATTATCTGACCGGCTGGTTAAGATCTTTCTCGATTTTTTAAGTGTCTTTCGCATTATTCAAATATTGTTGTAAAACGTTGGCCAATTTCTAGTAGAATAATAGGACCATATTAAGTAGCTGGTTTGAATCTTACAAATATTATCATTTTTCCTATATTTGAATTTGCAAACAAATCATTGACATGACTGGCAATCATCCTAGTCTTTGTCAAATAATGTTGCTCAAGTTAGTAACTTCAACTGATAACAATACTGTATCCAGAAAGTTCACATAATCCAGAAGATTAGGCATAATACATAAACAGACATTCAAACTTGGCCTCCGCTGACATTTATTCTCATCTTGTTTGAGATATCCAGTGCGGATTCAGTTAACGAACCGCAATACCCGCAGTAAGAAGTAAGAACACTTAAAAAAGTTTTAATTCTCTTACAAATGCCATATCCCTGAAACTAATATTATGAAAATCTCATGTTTTTTTTACTGTTACTCAACAAGTCTATAGACACTGCTGATGTTAGCCGAAGCCGGAGCAGCTTCCTAGCTATATTCAATGCTTCTTCAGCTTCAAGTTGTGGGTGCTCCAGGATGCTCATTGTCACAAGTGATGGCGAGCTAAGGAGAAGGAATCGGATAAACTCAAACTCGGGATCAAATCCTGAGATATTCGTTAACTTGACCAAACAAAGTTTGCTGAGGGGAAGTCGCAGTCCAGGAGTTTTAAATAACCTGAGACGCGTTCCCCTTTGCTCCTGACTGTACAAGCCTAGACAAAATAAAGCAGAGAAAGAAAATAAGTGCTTATTTGTTTCCAAGACAAAATTATCATAAATTAGATGGCGCGTTACAACTTACCTCAATATTAAGTTCTTGCAGATTCGGAGCACTTCTAATCAAGCAGACAACAGCAGATATTTGATCAAAGTCCATAAAGTTGACACCTTTGAGTTCAAGAATCTTTAGGGAGTCGGGCAATGTCGATAGCACAGGGGGAACTGGTGTTTCAGATAGGAGCTGAAAAAACGATATGTGCAAAAAAAATAAAAATTAATTAGATTAAATAAAACAAGAATTATCAGAACCCCTATAATATCAGTTGTGAAGATAAAGATAAACCTGATTCTAGAAATCGGAAAATAGAGACAAACAACAACAATCCAGTATAATCCCACAAGTGGAGTCTGGAGAGGTTAGTGTATACACCGACCTTACCTCTACTTTGAAGTAGAGAGGTTGTTTCCGATAGACCAAATAGGAAAATAGAGACATAAAAGTAATTTCAGTAGCAGTACAAACCTGCAGAAACTTTCCATTTTAGACAAAGTATTTTGAGTTTTGGCAAGCTACCCACAAGCTTCACCAAATCAGAGATAAGCTTGCCGCCTTCAAGTCCAATTACAAGTCTCTCTAGTGTAACAGTAACTTCAGTCAAGTTAGGGGCGTTTTCTAAGGAGATTGATTCGAAATTATCAAATGCCTTGATGTGCAACCTCTTGAGTTTAGAACCGCTGATATTAAAGTGACGAACTCCAGAGCAACGACGCAAGCTTAGCCTTTCAAGAACGGGGCAGCCAGAAAGAAAACTTTCAAAACAGTTGTTTGCAAAGTCAACCCGAATAAGTTTTAATTGGTAGAGATTTAGGAAGCCTTTAAACTTTGGTGGAGGCAATATGACAAAATTCTGGAGCTTCAAGAATGTCAAGTCTAGACAAGAGAAGAAATAAGAAGGTAATTTATGACGATAGTTCAAAACACCAGCGTATATTAAGGTTAATTTATTGATGTTTCTCCCAGATAAATATAGTATCCATTTGTTCACATCAATCACAGCTGAACCGCCATCAGGAACCATCGTTGATGTTAAATATCTAGGAAAGCACACTTGAAAAGTCTCTATGCGACGAGGATGAAGCATAAGATACTTGGTGACAATTTCGTTAAATTGGTAATTGAGCTCAAACATGGAGAATATACCATGATTCTTCTTGGCGACAAAGTCGTTAACTTCTTTGCAGAACTGGTCATCAAACACTAATTGCGGAATGGCTAAGTAGTAAAATCTCCACTTCTTTGAAAGAATACTCGTTCTTACTGCATCGCGTAAAGGCATTTTCCCTAGAATGCAATCTATTACATTCCCGGGCAAGTTACTGATTCTATCCTCATCATCAATTGATTCCTTACTTGTGTCTGATTGATATATTTTGCTACAGATTGGACACATTCTTCTTAAGAATTTTCCAACTTAATCAACTCTACTGGAAAAAATACAGAAGAAAATCAGGATCAGCATAATCATTACAAGAATTCTCTTGTTAGACTTAAAGGATCTTTAATGTCTCAAACAGGAAAAATAAATAAACATATATAGAAAAGGGGCAAAAAGGAGGAGGAAAGAAAGAGGGCATTCTTAGATTTATGATGGTGATACAAAGTAGCAAATATTTCTTTTTTATATACGAAGAAAAATAATTTTATTGATGGATTTTGTGGCTTTAGTTTTGTTTGTTCCCTTGATTCTTCCTCATCATATTTCTCAAACATAGCATAATGCGGACCTTCGTGTCATGTATTTGATCACCAATATATGGATCTTCTCCATGAAAGTAGCAAATATTTATGACACCCCTTATACTTTAGGTGTTAGCATCAAGTAATTCAAAAGTATAGTAGCTATAAATTCGTACAACTAAATTTTAATGTCAGATATTCTCATCAAAGTCAAAACTCAAAAGTCAGCAAAGCAAAAAGTCGAGAATCTTCTCGTTGGCGAAGCTAGAAGCCCGTATACGGATTCGGCCGAACCCACTTGCTCAAACCACGTATTTTTATTAGAAAATTTATCAAATATTTATAAATATTAATAAAGACTCAATCATTAGCATGTGATCGAACTCATAAAAGTAAAAATTACAAAAAGCTCATTGTAAAATATATGGGGTGCCATAGATTGAAGAAAGAAACACGTGGAATAAACATTAAATAATGATTACATACTACAGAGAAAAACATACATACAATTTGATTCCCTTAAAGAAGTAGGGCAGCGGCGGAGCAGTGTTGCTGAGATTTTCAAGTTAAATGCGGTTCAATACATTTATATTGGGCCTTGTTCTTAGCCCATTTAAATTGACCTCAATTAAGTTTTCCTTTTTCTTGTTTTTGTAAAATATAAAAGATATATTACTATTTGGTAAGTCACCACATTCAGAGAGACCTTTTAACTTCTTCTTTTTTTCTATTGTATTGTTTTTATTGATACCATGGTTGCTTTTATTGTTCTAAAAATTATATTATATTGTATGGTGTTAGTAAACCTGTTGTAACTCCATTGTTATATAACCATGAAAAAGTTCAATTTTTGTAACCATGGATTTGGTGGTTTTTGCGTGGTTACTTATAAAAATGTTATTAAACTACAATAAGCAATACAATCCATTCAAACATTATATTTATTAATACAATTATACATAATGAAACCATGGGTAACGACCATCCAAACAGGCCATAATAAAGTATTTGGCACCCAAAGCCAACTAGCAAGACCTTATTTGTTAAACCGCAAGGAAAGTACGTATGATATAGTTGGAAGGTTTAAAACAAATATTTAAGACCTTTTGAACTTAAACTGATTTCCGTGTTAAAATAAATCCCAAAACTAATCGCTTTTAGATTTTTTTGCAGCCTTTTCTCCACATTCTCTTCCTAAAATCAAATTGTAAGACGTTCTTGTAGTACCTTTTGGCAGTCAAAGTCACAATACAGCTACCTCAAAAACCGGATCTGATAAAATAGGATGAATTGAGACGGTATTTTGTAAATACGTAATTATCTTGAATATATTAACTATTTCTTTATATTTCGATCTGTAGGAGCGCATCTTGTTTTCAAAGATGAGTCGGTTCGATCACCCCACATATCGACGGTTTTTTAATGCCTTATCCTAGGTGTTGCGGAAGCCAAATGTATATAGTGTGAATAAATCACAACTATTATACTAAAAATTATGACAACCACAAAATAATAAATAAGACAATAAAGCAACAACAAAAGGAACACCAAAATTTACGAGGTTCGGCCAATTTTGCCTACTCCTCGGACACAACCAATATTTTATTCCACTCCAAAAATACAAGTGAAATAATACTAAAGAGAGAAGATACAAATGCCTTAAGAAGATAAGAAGTCAAATGAGAGGTGTGTTTAAATCCTAAACATTAGGCCTCCTTTTATAGGAAAAAATTCCCACCAAGTTTACTTCTCAATCGATGTGGGATATTGTCATATTCAACAAATACAATCTCCACCTTGGCAAAATTCCACATCTTCAATTCTCTCTCAATAACAAATTTTGGTTGTGTCTTCATCATCAATCTTCAGTGTTCAACAATGTTGATCAAACCCAAACAATGTTGAAACTTGACCGCAGTCACCACTTTTGTCAGCATATCAACAGGATTCTCCGTAGTATGAATTTTCTTCACTGTGACTCCATCTTCTTCTATAATTTCTCGTACGAAATGATACCGAACATCAATGTGCTTCGTCCTTGCATGATAAACTTGGTTCTTCGCCAATTGAATAGCACTTTGACTATCACAAAAGATTGTGATACTTTTTTGTGCAACACCAAGCTCCTTTAGCAATCCCTGAAGCCAAATTGCTTCCTTCACAGCCTCTATAATAGTCATATATTCTGCCTCTGTTGTAGACAAAACAACTGTTGACTATAAAGTAAACTTCCAACTAACTGGTGCCTTTGCAAAAGTAAACACATAACCAGTAGTTGATCTTCGTTTGTCCAGATCACCCGCAAAATCTGAGTCACAATATCCAACTACAGATTGATTGTCTTCCTGCTCAAAAACTAACCCAACATCTACAATATTGTGAATATACCGTAGAATCCACTTCACAGCTTGCCAATGATCCTTTCCTGGATTATGCATATATCTACTAATAACTCCAACAGCTTGTGAAATGTCAGGTCTCGTACAGACCATTACATACATCAAGCTACCAACAATATTTGCATATGGTACCCTTGACATATACTCCTGTTCAGCTTCATCAGTTGGCGACATAGTAGTACTTAGCTTAAAATGGGAAGCAAGTGGAGTACTAACTGGCTTAGTCTTGTCATCTATGCCAAAACGTTGAAGTACTCT